GACCTGTTTCAGCCTCTGTGGTTGTCTAATTTCCAGGTTGAATAAGGACGCTATGTCACCGCTTCCCTACGGACTAAGATATTAAATGTGAGGCATGAAATAGAAGAGCTTTTGCTGAGCTGCGTCCAGGATGCTGGCACAGCAGCTTTAGGTACTACAGTGAGGCGGCAGCACTGATGCACAGACCCAAGAGGACTGCGGGAGCTGAAAGAGCCAGCGGGTGCAGGAGCAGCGCTAACGGTGTCATAAATACGCAGGTTGTGGTGGTCCCCGAGGGCTGTCCAGAAGAAGTGTTTGCAAGTATTACTGTTTCATAGTGCACAAATATCACTGGGGATAAGGTGAAGGTGGAAGGCTAGAGCAAGTATACTACTCAGTCTTCAGCTTGATAAATAGATGAGAGCTCTGTTCTCTTCCCCCTTGTGTTTAACTGAGCCTTTCCAGTATCTGTCAGTTTGTGGTGTTCCTGGTGGTTTTTAATGCCTCTGGTGACAGCTTCCAATTTTGCTGCATTGTCAGAAGAGTTCTCCTAGAAATCACAGGTGAATTGGCAGGTCTGAAGGGTTGACAGCTTGTCAAAATATAGCTGCTAGGTGCAGTCATCTTAAGCTCTCCTTCTTTCAGCACTAGTATAGAACATAGGATTGACAGCCCAGAGACTGAAACTGTTTTTTCACGGATCAGATTAAGCTCACCTTGTGACAGGGCATACTCCTCCAATGTGCAGAAGTATCTCCTGTCAACTATGGAGAGAGGGGAGTGGGGACTTGGGGATTATAGCCATCCCTTTTGAGTGAAAAAGTTATCTGTTTGGGCATTGATATGTTAAAATACCAACAAACGCTCATCTTTTCCAACTGCAGGGAACTGAATAACGTTTTTCCTGTAGACTGGGAACTGTAGCAGGCAGCTTTTGCTTTCTCCCTGCTCTGATAGCTCTCACAGATGCTGCAAGTGAGTAGGTCCAACCTCACCCTATTCTTCCCCTTTAGAAAATCCTACTTACATGACTACCTGAGAGTGTGCTTCATCCTCGCCGTGAGTTACCAGGAAGGCAGCTGAGGTTTCCATCTCTGATATTTGGCCTTCCCTGTGGAACTGATAAAAATATGAGTCAGTGCTAGGTGCAGTGGCAGTTTTGGTAGTATAGGATCCACTCCCAGTGGAGCTGAAGCTGATGCTACTGAACTCCTCGTGGGTGTCTCCTAATTCCTCCTTGCTGACATCAGACTGGACAGAAATGGAACTAACAGCTTAAAAATTCCATCTCCAGTCACTCTCTCCTCCCAGACAAACCCATCTCTGTACACAACAAGAAGTTGATGGAAAGAAGCTCTAGCAGCTCTGGTAAACTTTTTTCTTTTCCCCATCCCAACACTCTTTGCAGCAAGAGAGCCAAAGTTCGTTATTTCCAACAGGAACTTTAAAGTATATTGACACCAACTGCCTGCTGAGTGCCTGTTCTTTATGTGCTGCTTCTTGCCAGTTTGCTTCAGAGTCATTAATGAAAGGCAGTATTATTCCTTTTACTTTAGTTTCCTTGCCTGTAGCAGCCACACAGGGGGGTGGCAGACCAGGGACAGAACCGCTGGCTCCTGCATCCCACTTGTGGTGGCTCCTTCCGGAAAACAGGAAATTACTTTAAGCATATTATTGTCCTTGAAAAGAAAGTATACAGTTTTGGCATCCATTAGATACAGTCATTAAAGTCTCCCTGTCTTGCCTGCCTTCTGTCGGGGACGACAACTTTTCACTTCTTTTCCTCCCTGTAACGCGCACTCTGAAAGGGGGAGGCAGGAGGTTTGTACTGTTCTGTCTTCAAGTGGAGTGGGTAAGGAGGCCCGGTCCTGAAAAAGGTGCAAAAATGAGTTATTGAGAAAGAAACAGGGGAGGAGTGCTCCTACAAGAAGGGCTAAAATAATTTTAATAAGCATGGGAGTGCTTCCCCTCTCAAATGTGAACACCTTTCCAGAATAATAGGAAGGAGAACGTCAGAAATCCACCAAGGCCAGAAAGCAGTGCAGTTTTCAAGAAAAAATACTTGTGTTTTTTTCAAAGTTGGCAGTATTTAAAATTTCTTCAGACTTAGTCTGTTCAAGGGTGAGTTTTCTAACTGGAGAAGAAGCAGAAATGAAGTCTCAATATTTAGCTGGGCTCTTTGACTTAACCCTGCTTGTACTCCGAGAAACTCCCACAATAAGTGCAAGAGCCAGCATTTCTAACAAAGCGAGCTCCCAGCTCGGGGTTTCCTGGGGAGAGTAAAGCCGTGCAGAGCTCACGAACAACCCGCAGGTGCCCAGACTGGAGCGTTTCCCTGGGAGGATTAAAAACCAGATGACCTGTTCTGCCTGTGGACAGTGGTGAAGAGGGAGATGTAAGAATGTGTGTAAGTGAGAGCAGCGCCGGTGGCTGCAGAGGGGTCGGTTTTTGCAGCTCTTGTCACTGACACCTTTGGTGCCACTGGGAGGGAGGGGCAGGCCTGGGGAGGGCTGGCCTTGCTCCCCTTATCCCTCTGCTCTTGTGGCCGTTTCAGAAGAAAAACTGAGACTGATTTCTTTCTTCCAGCAGAAAAGCAATTACTTGGAAACTAGTACTGCTGTTTTATCAGGGGTAAACAGATGCTTTCTACGCTTAGAAATCAGCCACTTCATGTCTCCTTCATCTTCTGTAACACCCCCCACTGCCAGGGTTGTTCCTAGAGAACTTCTCATCTAACCACAACGCTGTTTGGATCAAAAAGTGTAGTGGATTGTTTAAATGCTGGTGGAAAGATTGTGCTGCCAAGACAGACTGCTCCTGCTTGTAAGTTTAGCAGCAGCCGCGGTGTTAGCGCAGCTGGAGTCAAAATTGCTGCAGCTGCTGGTGGCTGCAGTTGGGCCTCTCCCCAGATAACGCTTGCCGCCTGGCTGATCTGGTCACTGAGGGTGTCCTCTCCACCCACCCCCAAATCCTTTGTACAAATGCTTTCAGAATAAAATGTTTTGAGGAAGCATACCTGGGTTGTTCAACATTTTAGCTGACCGTTTCTAGACTTCTCGCTAGGGCTGTTTGGAAATACTGTGCAGGATTAACTCCCATGGTTACTACCAGTGATGACCAGAGCCAGGGAGATGATGGCCGTGGCTATGGGTGTTTCTGCCCAGTCCCTTGGCATCGTATCGTACATACCGATTTTAGTATGTCTGGAGATTTCACAGGTCTGTTTTTCACTAGATGGAAATCTTGACTTTTGCTCAGTTAAGCAGTTTGAATTCTAGCTAACGTGTCATTTTGTCCGGTTCCTCATTCTACATCTTAAATTTATGTCCAGACTTTATTTAATCCTTTGCCTACTGCAACCTATCAAGACTAGCCAGTATGATTTTGACTTGAGGCACAATTCTGCCGCTGATTATTTCCCCCCTCACTTTTTTAACTTTGTGAACACCGTGTATCCAGAAATGGTTTTGTATGTGCTCTTTCACTGGAGATGAAGGCCCAGGAGTCCTTTAGCTTTCTTCCAGTTTTGTTAGGTGGCTTTTAAATCCTTGTAAGTGGTTAACTAACAAGGACACAGTGAAGGTACTTCCTTTAATTATTTTGATCCTGTTCTTTCTGTTTCGTTTTGTGAGGCTACGCAGCTGGCCTCTGTCAGAGTTATTAAATTGGCCTCCTATAAAATGTTAGTTTAACTGGGATATAGTAGATGAAAAGACACCAGACTTGGCAGGGTTTGGATGCCGTTGTTTGTGGATGTTTGTATGTAATGCCTGAACCAAGTATCCACCAGCTGATTAAAGTATGTTGGTAAACTTTTGCCTTTCTGCAGTACTGTGATAAGAGTTGGTTCAGTTACTGTATGTTTCACTTAAGGTATAGAAGTATTTTCCAAAAGTAGCAGAGTGGTTTCAGCTGTGCTTTACAGGTGTAGAAAAACCAAGATATAACACGGTAATTTGAAAGTCATGGGCTAAAGGCAGTGGGACTCCCTGCGTTTAGACCTTGCTATAACTAACAGTGTTCTGGTGTTGATGGTAATGATGTTTTAAGGATGCTTGGTATAAACTTGGACTGTATTCATTTCCAGTAGCAGCTACTAATTTGGGATATTTCATTTGGTACCTAAAGCGATCAGCCCTCATTCTGGAGGGCAAATACTCAGTACTTCCTGAAAACTGTGTCGCTCTACGTTGCTTACATGTTATACTGTGCTTTACAGACCCCCAAAATTGTAAATAAGAGATCACTTTTAATATTCACTTCGTGACTTTATTAACTAAAGACATTAAAATTCTGAATCTCTCTATGCAGGCTTGAACAGGTGGGGTGTTCAGGATCATACGTTTCTCTTTCAGTCCCACTGTGCCCTGCATTATTTATCATCTTTTAACTGAGACAAGCTTTTTGGAAGTATTCTATTGTATGGATTTGGGCAACAAGACCTTGTTGGAAACGTTCTTGAAACAGACATCATGAAACATAATTGTACACAGCAATAATTTGGTCTTGCTATTAACAAGATGTTATGTCTTGCACATGGAAGTCTGTAGGGACGCAAGCAGAGATGCAGTATTTCATCAGCTTTTAGTTCTCTTGTGCTGAAGTGCAGGGAGGGACCCTTCTATATGATTTCATTTATCTGAAGGCTGCAGTGAGATTGAGTGGTCCTGGATCATTGAATCTGGAAAGTGAAGAGACGCGCAATTGAAAAAAGCTGCCTCCTGTTCTGCACAAAAAACCTGAAGCACCTGTGGCAAAGAGGCTGTATCTTAAAATGCACAGGGAAATTGTGGTACAGTTCCATGGAATTAAGTAGGGTGTGAAACAATCAATAAATGGTGAGTTTTGACCATAAAGTCATGGGTTTTTCTTGTGCAGCTGTCCCTGTGGGAAAAAATGGAATAATAATTATCAGTTGAGTTCAAAGTTAGTATTTATACAGCAAGTCGATTGGATAACTATTCAAATATTTAGCACTTGCTTGTTTTCATTACAGGAATTGCAAGGCTCAGGAAGAGGACGCTTTCTACTGGAACATGCTGTTCCCTTCTCTGCATTTTTGACGGACAGCTTTGGGCGTCAGCACAACTACTTGCGAATTTCTTTAACCGAAAAATGCAACCTCCGGTGTAAGTGTCTCCTTTCTTGCACAAAGCTCTTAGGCGCTATATTGTGCAAAGGCCCAGAACTGAGTGAGGGTACTTAGTGCTGTGTTGGCCCTGTGCTGTTTCTTGGCTTCACAAAGTAATGGTAAAGGGTAGATAGAGACTGATTTGGGGCTGAGCTGCTGGCGGGATGGGGAAGCAGGAGCAAGCCTAGGGATCTGCCAGAGACAGGTGGGAGTGACAGGTCTTTCATCAGACTAGGTGTGGTTTGGATGATGGTGCTTGTGGATGTTTGTATGCCATACCCAAAGTGTGTGGTAAGCATGAGAGCTTGGACCTAGGCATTCCCGCAATTAGGGCTGCAAAATTTGTGGCAGTGTCCCAGTGCTTGCCAGGTGAGTTTGGTGTCTCTGAATGCAGGTTAGATAGAATTATGATCAGCTTTTCCTTCAAAGTGGATCCATTGTAATTTTGAGACCCATGAGTCTTGGGTTTTCTTCTGAAGGAAAACAGGAGATTGTTAAGGGGATTGCTTGTAAGATTTGGTGTATGATCTTCTCTGTATTTCAGGAAAGCAGAGTCATTTGACGTCCATTAAAAACAGTTGCACTTGGTGCATTTTGCCCATCAATATTAACTGCTGCTGGTTATTTTTTCCCCATGTATTTCTGTATTCTTTGTTTCAGGTCAGTATTGTATGCCAGAGGAAGGTGTTCAGCTGACCCCTAAATCAGAGCTACTTACTGCTCAGGAGATAATCACCCTAGCCAGACTGTTTGTGAAGGAAGGCGTAGAGAAGATCCGACTGACAGGAGGAGAGCCACTTATCCGTCCCGATGTGGTTGATATTGTGGGTGAGTTCCCAATAAATACAGTGTGTTTCAAAGCGACTTGCTATATATTGATCCAAGAACTATGCTTATAACTATTTACTAATACAGTCCAGCAGCCTGAAGAATAATTATACATTAAATGACAGTGCTTTTTCCCAACATTGTGAAATGCAAGATAGTACCTTTCAGAAAACTTCCAGTTCTGCTCTTCTGCTTGGATGGAACTTCATGTTATAACAGCTGAACTTAGTGTTGTCTTCATATTCAACATCTACTAGAATAGCTTGCAGTAATGCAGCCTTGGGGTGAAAAATCAAGAATTGATGTGACCAGGTCCTCTCTGGGGAGGAACAGTTGATACGTGCTTACAAACAAAACAGGTTTTCTTTTGGATTTTGAGGGGGGGGCGGTGTTTTTGTGGTTTTGTTTTGTTTCCTTGATAACAGATGTCACTTGCTTGTCTGTGGTTAATAAGGAATGGTTGAAATGTCTATATTTGTACAGTTATTGATGAAGACTATTATTTCAATAGAAGATAAATTACTGGGTGATTTTTAGAAGTCTGTCTCCTTCGATTGGTATTGTGTTGACTGACTGTGCCTGGTTTTTTTCTTGAGCCAGGTGCGCTTTTCCCTATCCAAAATCTCGTATGTTATGGACATTACAATAGCTTTGTGTAGTGGCAATGTATTAGATTAAGGCTATGTAGGTGGGTGCACTTTGGTGTATTGTAGGCAACTGAACTTGTCTGGTTTTGCATGTATATTCTTGTAAGTACTGAAGATAAGCAAGGGTTAATATGGAAGATGAAGGTCTTGAAAGTAGAGTAACTGCCTACTGATAACACTGAGCTTTGGTGCAGAAAACAGTTGGTCTCTGCTCCTGCTCTGTTTTGTTCAGGATTTGGAAGACCTTTACGGTCTTTTCCAAAGGAAGCAGCAGAGCGGTGTAGTATGTAGAACTGACCTGTTTGTAGCTGGAAAAGGTACAGCTAAAGTGAGCTAGCTTGCGTCTCCTTGAACCTTGATTGTGAGGAGTCCTGAAACTGCACTAACTTCATCTTTCTGGAACTCTGGAATACCATTCTCTAGGGGATTTTGTCCATGCATGATAGGTTATTTTTTTTTATTTAGGATTGAGAGTGCCAAGTGCCCTTCAAGAGACCCGTTTCTTTCAGGAAGGCATTCCCCATTTCTAGTAATAATAGGTATAATTATTTCTAGCTGGCTTTCGCCAGCCAAAAGGGAGACAGATTTATAAAATAGGTTGTATTTTAAAACACAATAAAGCTTTACAGTTCAGCATATAGTATTGGCATGAAAATGACTTGAAATCAACATCATCAGTGCAGAGCTTTCTTTCCTAGTGTATGCACCTTTTTGAGTTATCAGCGGTAGCTGACAGCTTTTTATAGTCAACACAGCTACTCTGATGTTGAGGGTGTAAGCTGAGTAGCCAGGCCATTGCAAAATAATTATCACATTGCTGCAATTCTGATGTATTGCTATTGGAAGGATAGAAAGCTGTTTGTTTGTTTGCTTTACTGCAGTGATAGAATTCTCAAAGGTTTATTTCTGTGGCTGAAAGAGGGAGATGGATCTTTTTGAACCACTGGGCTTTCATTATGCTGCCTGTGTTCTTGTTCACAGCTGAACTTTGACAGATTCATAGTGATCATTTTAAAGGATGACAAGAGAGTAGTGATCTTGGGGTAAGGGTAATGGACGTTAAGATGATTGTCCTGTTGCATTAGTTCATTCTGTCATGAATTTGTATTAGCCTGGCTGTTTTTTTCTAAGGCATATTGAAAATTGGCAAATTAAGTCTATAAACACTTTTTGTCTTCTCAGACTTTGGTGTTACTCTATGGTGCACAAATTTGGGATTAAGATAAAAGTCTCAAAACTAAATAGATCGCGTGTAACAACTATGGGAAAACTCACTGAAGGGAAAACAAGCCCAAAAATGTGTTCTGCAACAGTTGAGTTAGTCACCTTTATTGAGGCCATCTTAGCACAACGTATTGGTTTGGGCTGGAATAGAGTTAATCTGGATTTCTAGATGGTTTATAGAAGCTGGCTACAATATCTCAGGTGCTGAATAGGGTTGAGATTTAAGTTAGGTTTGTTTTCAGCAAACATTTCTCTTAACCATAAATGGTCTGTGAAATACCAATAAAGCTCAAAAATAGTAACGCTGGATTGCTATTACCATATATTTCTAATACTCAAGTTCAAACTTTTTTGTTGTTTCAATGAACAAATGTGATTTGAAGCTACTGTAGGAGACCATGTTATTCACAGACTTGATACAGTTTTTAGATTATTTCAAATCTTCTTTTAATGCATGCACACACATAAACTATGACTCAGCAACTAACACTTGCTGAAAGCTAAACCATGTCCTGGGGACTGCTGAAAACATGTGTTCGAGACTTTTCTGAAGCAGCTGACAGTGGAATATAGAATCCATCTCCTTTGGGATACTCAAAGTTTAAATTAGCACCGGATGTAAGCTGTGTGATAGCTGTTTATTATTAACAGTGTGAGAAGTATACATCTCCACTGACAAAATCATTTTCCATGGGGTAGGGGATGGACGATTGGATGACTTTTTACAGCAAAATACACATTTCAAGAGTGAAGTGATGCAGGGTAGACTTATTAATTCATGTTTTAGGGGATACACATACCTTTTCTGGACTCAATCAGGAGAAGTGCAATTGAGGAAACAATCGGAGGAGAATATGTAAGAAATTTGTTTATTTAAGAAGATGCTCCTGATCCTAAAGGAAAAAGTAAATGTAAAAGGGTTTAATTGATGGCTTGAGCCTGACATGTAAGCTTTTATCTTCATGCTATTGAATTATAGCATCTGTTCTGTTTCCTTGTCTACTTGATAGTTTTATCAATTGCCTTTGCTTGTACTGATTGTTGCTAAAGCAGTGACCAAAGGTCAGCAAACAGACTTAATACAGGTCCAAGGTGAGTTACAAAGTTATGAAATCTCGTTAATCCCTTTTGAATTTAGAGGTCATCAAGTCAAGAAGCCAAGCAACTGCAAGTGTTCCACTTCTTAGCTTGCACAAATAAGGCAGAGTGTCCTAAGTAACTGGTCCTTTTTAACTTGTTGGTCTTAGTGTTAAGTCTCCGTCTCTAATCTCACAGTTGACTTCTGTCCAATTTGTTATTACAGGTGGTTCCACATATTAGTGTATTTCCAGTGCCTCATCCTGTAGTCTGATGAGGAAGAAGATGCATTGGTAACAGCTGCTGCCCGCACTAACTGACCTAATCAGCTGGTGCTACTTTTTTTAATTTTTCCATTTTAGGCTGCAGCACGGCTTTGGTTTTATTCAATGCCTTTGTGCATCTTACATTTCTAGCAATGAAGCCTGTATGGCAGCTAGTCTTTTTTTTTTTTTTTTCTCTGTTGTTAGGAGGTTGAGCATTTTGTGTGTTCTGAGGCGGTAAATAAAAGTAGTGGTGTTCCTATGCTGTCCTCTGGGTGCAATGTGTATCCTGTGCTTTCACAAAGACTAGGCTGCTCGTGGTAGCTGGTGTTAAGTAATTTTTGGCAAACTTGGGCCAACAGAACTCATCCTCTAGGAAAAGGTTATTCCTGGTCAGGAATTTTGAGAGGTGAATGCCGGAAAAATCTAGTTCTTAGTAAAGATTGCTCTTTCCTTACAGCCTCAGGTTCCAAACGGCTTTACAGGGCTCCTAATCATGTTGCAAAATGCTGCTGCTGTGAGCTTGAGCATCTTTGGTGTGACCCGGCTTGTCCCGTTCCAGAGTTTTGGGCCCAGCTTAGGGTGAATGTTTTGAGAATAGCTGGGAAATGAGATAAAGCAGAAGTAAAGCCCTTATCAACATGAACAAATAGAGGTAAATAGGGAGGGAAGAAGGGACTATGAAATATTTGTGCTGTAATTAAAGCTGCCTCAAGAGTAAAGGTTCTTCAAATATTTCTCAGCTAATTAGGGTGGAGGCTATGAGAGAAGGAAGGGGGGAAAATAAGAAAATTACCTTGCCTTGGCTCTGCTTCTGCAAGTGGTTTATGAGGGTTTTTTTCCTATTTGTTATTATACTGATAACTGGAGGTTTGAAAAGCCTGCCTCCGGAGATCTGGTATGCTGAGGATTTCTGCATTTGGCTTACAAGGAGGCAGCTATTTTCTAAATCTTAGTCTCAAGATATTAACTGTTTCTTATGTGGTTTTCTTTTGCTAGCCATTTTTCAGTGTCTTGCGTAAGCCCTCTTCAATTGGCTGGGCTACCACTGTGGTGTCAAGTGCAAGTGTTTTGTCCCTTGGGTGGTGTTGTGTTGGATTCTCTGTAATGGTCTAATATGTTGACCTTTTTCTGTTTAGTTAGGAGTATATGTGGTATTTCTTTCAGCAGTTTAAACTGCTGGCAGCTACCTCTGGGTTAGAACTGGTTTTTGGTAAAGCATAGCAGGAGAAATGTTGCTAGATAAAGGCAGCTAGTTCAAGTGTCAGGTGTGGAAAGGGTGACTTGCTGCTTATTATTATTGCAGAACACAGAATTCAGTTTGCAAGCTAGATTGAGGAAAAGAAGGTAAACAATCAGAGGCCTTCTTCCAACAATAAAGTAGCTATTTACTCTAAGAAATGGAGAACAAAATTAGTGTGCATTTTCAGTGTTCTTTTTAACCAGTTTTGCTTGCAGTGAGCTACTGTCTTTCATACCTTTTGAAATGGGTTTGTGCTAAAATGGGTCTCAAACCAGTACAGCTGGAAGAAAGCTGAAGCACTGAAGCATCCATGTTTTCCTCACACCCTGAGTGATGTTTTTTTGTTTGTTTCACAGATCTTCTTTTGGGTTTTCTGTGTAAGTAACAGTTGAATTATTTCTTTTAAAGTGTTCTTTTCACTTTTTATTTTCCTAGGTCAACTGTACAAGCTAGAAGGGCTGAAAACCATTGCCGTCACAACCAACGGGATCAACTTAGCCAGATTGCTGCCCCGATTGAAGGAGGCAGGACTGAACGCCATTAACATTAGCCTGGATACTTTGGTCCCAGCTAAATTTGAGTTCATTGTCCGAAGGAAAGGTACAGGCTTGTCTTCTAAGGCAACTGTGTTAATACTTGCAGTAATGTTGTGAGTTGTTTGGTATGTCTTTCACACTCAGTTATTTTGGGAGGGGAGTGAACTGCTGTCCTTCTGAGGCTAGGAGAAGTAGTCTATACTAGCTTATTTGATGGTGACTCTTTTTCCTTCTTTCTACAACCCTTAGGCAGGTAGAGCCCCTTTAGTTGGAGCTGATGGAGTAGAAGATGCTCAACTCACCACAGTCAGAGGGACTGTGACTACAGCTGCCACTAACTGGCTGATTACTGGTTAGTCATGGATATCAAAAGGACTCTCCAAATCTTGTGTTGGTCTTGTGTGCTGCTGTTCCTTAATCCTGTTCAAAAAACAGATGTCCCGGCTGTAGCAGCCAGGAACTAAGATGCCACAGGAACTGAACTTCCTGTCACAAATAGCGGCAGTTTCTGGAAGTTGTATTTGGGGCATGCTAGCAGTGGTCTCACTTGTGATAAGTGATGTTTCCTACCTCCACTACTCTTTAATAGGAATTAACATAAACCGTGGCTGAGGTCATTTGAGGAGGGGTGCTAGCTTTGTAACTTCTCTCCAATTGAGCTGGTAATTCCAAACGAGGTTTCAAACATGCTTGGATGTGCCCAGTGTTACACGTTCTTGTTTAAATGAATCCTTAAGCTCATCATGAAGTTCAGCTTCATGGTTGGGCTTCCTTCCCACCTAAAACTGATTCGATTTTGTATCGTTCTATTTCTGTCCAGTAATGTAACTTTGGCCGTCTGTGAACTTCAGACAAAACCTCCAAGTAGCCACTAGATGGTGCAACAACGTAAGATAAACGTAGGGCAAGGGCTGTAGCAATGTGGGATGCTATGAGAGTAATTTCAACGTTTGAATCACTCAGCTATCAAATCGAAGTTCTGCTGACAGGTGCAGAAAGGTGTCCTTGTCTACAGTCTCTCTGGGAGCACTTCTTCATGTTTCTACATCATGGTGCAGAAATCTGTTCCTGTCATAAATCTGACTGGAGCGTTATCCTTCCAGCGTAGGCAGTTGCATTAATCTGGTTGTGTCATGGCACAGTTGGCTCCCAGAGATGTATCTGGGAGTATCTAATCACAAGCAGGTGTTGACTGTGCTCTTTCCTTCTGCTCTCTGCATTTGAATGTTACCTGGCTTGTGACACCCCCTGGAAACAAGCCTGCCCTTTGCTACTGAAGGGGCAAACCTGATCCTCCAGCTTCCTGAATTATATGGCCACAGCTCTTCATATCTGATTGGAAGCTGTGAGGAATGTGCTGCTTATAAAGTAAACTAAAAGTTATTGGGGGATGAGGGTAATTTTTATTTATATAAATGTTCTCATCCTCTCTTTCCCCTTTGAAGAAAAAAGGTCTTTAACCACAAAGAGAGAAGTTGCTCAGCTGAATAGCATAGAGAATGAACAGGGAAGTTTCTATGACTCAATATTTTTAAGGAGGAGAATAAAGTCTCCAAATCATAGATAATTTTTTTTTTTTTAAGTGGAGATCAGGTAAAAAGAGTAACGCTGACTTGGGTTTTTTCTTTTGTTAAGGGCTGAAATTATGTAAAAATACTTTTTTATTGTTTTTGAGGGTTTTTTATTTAATAGGAGATTTCCAAGTATGGAATGAGCAGAGAATAAAGTGCCTGCCCTACTGTGCTACCCTGTCTCCTGTGTCAGTTCCAGAGGCGACAAGATATAGCTCTATGAAGGTGAGAGGGATTCCTGGTCTTAGACTCCTACAGGCTGGTAACTTCTGTGGAAAGTAAAGGTGGCATCTGATTATGGAGCTAACCAGGAGCTCAAGAAACTTGGAATGAATTTTTCTGCTCCTCTGGAAACTCATTCTAGGGTTTTAAGAAAAGGCTGGAATTTTGTATCTCTGGTGCAGGTGACCTGCATTATGCCTGCTTTTATTACCAAATGGTTAGAGTAGAGGGAATGGCTGTGAGATGATCAGAGATTTCAACTGATGTGTGAAAGCACATTAGAGGACCATAATATTTCTACTTCTCCCCGTTACCACATTCTAAGGAATGAACAAATGAAAAGTACTTTCTTGCAGGTATCCAGTCTAACCTGTTTCACAGCCTGTCCCTTCTTTTTTGTTCAGTACAAGGAAAATGAGATAATATTGTACTGTAATTGAATCATTAAACACAGGCTTGAAGCCTTTCTTCTTGTAAGGATTAAATGTTGGGAGGTGTTGTCCCACATAGGATTGTTATGGAATTGTCTAAGGTTCCCTGTGCTTTAAAGTTGGCTAAAGTTATGATTTCAGAAGAAATCTAAAAAGATGACAATACTAAAATTTTTCAGTGGGTGGAAGAGAAGGGTTGACATTTTGAAATATCAAACAAAAACCTAAAGAACTTCTGTGCCTTGACAATATTTCCTGACACAGTGACATCTAGTATTCATTTCTGCTCTCATATTTTGAAATGTTTTGGTTTTATTCTTTTTGTTGTTCCATTACCACACAAGGACTTTGATCTAGAAGGGATGGTTCAATATGTATGGCAATACAAATGAACTCCTAACAGCTTGCCATAAAGGAAAAACAGAAAACGGTTAACATCAAAATATGAAATGCAGTTACAGATTTTTATTTTTTTACTCTAAAAAATTTTTATTTTAAGTAATCACCCTGCCCCCAAAATCTTTTAGTGGAAACAAGCTCATAGTTGTTCAACAGAATAGCTTACTTTTTTTGTTGTTTGTAGAGATTTAGGTAGCTGTTCTATACCACACTCTTGTGCTAGCGTGGCAGGAGGCAAGAGGCAGAACTGGGAAGGACATCGAGTTAGATGCATTGCAAGCTGTAATCCTGTACCATACGTGTACAGCAAGCTGAGCCCAAGCATCGAGTGTTCAAACAGGCGGAGTTTTTGATCTGCTGCTTGCTAGTCATTGCTTCCTGGCCTTTTTAGTGAAGTTCAGTTTCACCTTTCTGCAATCCTGAAGTTGCACATGAGGTTTTCTGAGCTGTTACAGAGCTTTTTTGATCCCATTCGTGGGTCTGGGATGTGCATACAGCAGTGTATCGTTATCTCTGTTGCCACATTCAGCCTGCGAACTTGCTTAATGGGAAAGCAAGCTACTGCTGGTGCTGCAGGCTTCCTGGGCGCATGCAAAACAAGGAGGTGGTGAAAGGAGAAGGGTGACAAGTTACAGCTTCAAACAGTTGTTTGCAAGAGTTAGTTTACTGTCTTCTCCTTGCTCTTCACCTCTCTTTTTGCAGCCAGGACTAGCATTAGGACCCGCTTATAAAGCGGTTACCATCCTCCGCTTTCCTGTGTTCATGCTTTATAATGCCTTTACCAGCCAGGAAGCAGCTAAGTTTAAGTTTCTTGTCTCTCCTCCCCCCCCCCGGCCCTAATCTTGAATGCATCCAGTATTAAGTATGCACAGAATATTATTGGGTTATTGCTTATTTCTGGTAAAGCACCTACAGATTAATGAAGGCACGATCTCTTTATTAGGCAGTTCAGTCGATATGAGATAGGGAAAGGAGGGTGATGGACCTACACGGAAAAACATGTGACTAGGAACAGCACAGGGATTGTCAGCACAAACGTCTGGAAGGTATTGCCCTTTTGCTAGCATGTGTAAAGTATTTGCTGTTGAAGACTACAGCTTTGGAAGAAGGAGCTCAGTCTCATGCAGTGTTTGGTCTCTCACACCTGGGTTTAGAGTGCAGAACAGGAGGGGAACTTAGTCTAGCACCTGACAGGGCAGGAGAGGCATTCACAAGCAGGGCTAGCAGCCGAGCACGCCCGCTCACCAGCAGTGCGTACCCAGAGCTCGGTAGCTTGCTGGTTCGTTCTTGCTACTATCACCTCGCTTCTCTGCCAGCTTATGAGTGTGGTAGGGAAGGAATAATATGTCAAATGTCAAATTGATGGCATGATGAAAGGTCTTAACTTTGTTTAAAGTTGACAGAAGGTGTGGTTTGAATGAGATGATTAAGAGGCTTTCCTAAAGGCCTGTGGAATTCCAAAATCGCACTGTTGCTTTTTTTTTTTTTTTTCCTTCCAAATTTAGGAGGTACGTGTAGGGGTGAAGATACTTACCCTAAAGTAACTGTATCTCTGTGTCTGGGAACAGCTGACAAGTGTAGGCCACACTAAATGGTAGGGTGAGGCTGGGCACTTCATTCCTTGAAGCCACTGCAGTTTCTGACATCTTTCATTTGTTTTCAAGGGTCAAAGGCCAACTGAATTGCTTTCCTAAATGCTCTAATCCCCCCCATGTTGTGCTCACCAATTTTACGTGTTTAAAGTAGTCATAAAACTGATGATCCTGTAAAATGCTGCCAGTGATTTTCAAACTAATGGATAGACAGTAGCTTTGGGAAGCCAATTACACCCGTAGCCAGGGATGAAGAGGGAATTGAGGGGCTTTTGTTTGTTCCTAACCCCACTCCCCTCCATACACACTTTAGAAAGATCCTTTTAAAATTCACTTAGCGATATTGCTGTCTGACTGAGAACAGTGAGATTCTGCCAGTTTAGTGAAGACACACGTGCCATTATTATCAAAAGAACATTAATTTAGTATTCTTTCTTCATTGCATCTGGAGGCAGTTCACAAATGCTTGCCACTCCCTTTAAGAAGAACCTAACACCAGGCAAAACTGAATTATGGCGAAGTGGAGAATCATGTGCTAATGATACAGGGATGTCCAAAGATGCAGAAAAGCATACCAGTATTTTTGACTACCCATATGCTGGTTAAAAATCTTCTCTCAGTGACTTGACCACAGTAACACTGGCAGCCTTTGGGGAGGGTGTGTGCGGTGGGGTGTGTGTAGCATTGAAGTCTCTTTACTTGCAGCTCTTCTTACTTGTAGCCCTGTCTATTGAATCAGATGGGTTTTTATTTGTCATCTTTTTGTCTTGTACTTAATAACCTCCTTTTGCATTCTGTTTTTAAACAAGAAAAATAAATTTTTATTCTTTTTATATCTTAGGCTTTCACAAGGTAATGGAAGGAATCCACAAAGCCACTGAACTTGGCTACCGTCCTGTTAAGGTAAAGCCAGTGTTTATTTACTCTGGAGCTGTTGTGTTTTACCATAAATGGTGATAAAAGATACAGCTCACTTGATGAGGAATTTATTATTTTTCCCCCTCTGTGAATAATTTTTGGTCACACCGAAGAAAAATTGTGGTAGATTGAAGATCACATCAAGAGGTGATGGGGGAAATTCACATTATCTCCTCATGCAGCTGAGGGTACCGGTTCGCTCTGCCACAAAGCCTGTTGATGGCCTAGCTGCAGGCTACAGGGTGGTCCTGCTCTGTGCTTGCCTCTTCCTACCCCCTCTATTGATTTGGCACTTGTCTGACCCAGCTGTGAACTTGGCCAAGGGAGTTAACAGGCAGAAAACTACCCTGCAGAAAGACATGAATTTTCTTCTGGCTTATCTCCTTCAGCTGCTCACAGCAGACTCTGACGAATGCCAGTGAGAGAGAGAGGGAAAGGGAGTCCTCCTTTGGGGGTGCAAGTAGACCAACTTAGCTCTGACATGAAACTTCACTCTAACTCAGCTGTTTGCAGTTCTGTAGCTGTGGTTCCCTTCAGTTTCGCCAGTGCTTTGGAAGATGTGTAAGTGTTTTAGGCTATAGAGCTATCAAAAACACTTGAAGTTAAACTAGGTTTTAGGCTTTCCGGAAAGATCTTGAGGATCATGATGCACATGACATACAAGTCCTTGCTAACAGGGAGTGTTTTAGCAACTCATCTGTTGTTCTTCAGGTAAAGCAGAGAGGACCTGAGGCTCCAATGTAAATATTGTTTATGAGGAACATGCAGAAAACTCAGTTTTAACCTCTTTTTGGAGGAAGGCAGAGCTAGTCATCCTGCAGCCTATGGTTATGGAGTGTGCTGTGAATGCCTCCTGGTCTGGGGCATTTGCCCGTCATCTGCCAGAGCGCTATAGAAGGTGCCCTGCCAGTACTTTTACAGAAGCCATACGATGTAGGACTGGGGAGTGGAGTTGTCATTTTAGACAGTAACAACCGCCATACCTTAGGTGGGTAAGACGATGCCTTTGTTACCTAGCTTTTATTAGTTTTCTGTTTAGCAAGGCAACTTCAACAACTTCAGTTAGATTGGCTGCAAAAACTTACAGGCAAGTTTGGCAGAAATGCTCATCTATACCACTTCAATCCCGCTAACTTCTCTCGTCATCTTTTCTTTCAAAAAAAAAAAAAGTTCTTTCTATCTACCTTGCCTTCTGCAAGGACTGTGAAACCTTGTGTAAGAGGGAATAAAGTCATATTCTGCTCAGTAATTGCCAGTGTCTGCTTTTCCTGCAGGTAAACTGTGTGGTGATGCGAGGCTTCAATGAGGATGAACTGCTGGGCTTTGTGGATTTCACGAAGGATCTGCCCCTTGATGTGCGGTTCATAGAATACATGCCCTTTGACGGTAAGCGGTCCTGCTTTGAGATTTTTTCATGGCACGGAGTGTGCCTTGGACATAGGTGAATCTGGTTGGTGGTTATTCTCCCGTGGGCTTGTCTCTGGAAGTTTTGGTGAGCTCTTTTTGAGAATTAGGAATTGCCTTAAGTTTTATGTTGTATCTTTTGCAGCTTATCTGTCTTCCCTGGATAAGCTGGAGAAGGATTAGTAGGAGGATTAGTTGGGGCTGGGACACCTACAGGGGAAAAACTGAGATTTGTGGAGAATGTAAAGCTGGTTCTCTGCTAATTAAAAAAAAATAAAATCCACAGTCTAAAGTTATGCTGGTTTTGTTAATTCTAGGCAATAAATGGAACTTCAAGAAGATGGTGAGCTACAAAGAAATGCTTGATACAATTAAACAGCGATGGCCTGAATTGGAGAAATTGCCCTGTGAAGCTTCCAGCACATCCAAGGTGGGGTTAGACAAAGAACATCTGAAATGTGCCCCCATTCTTTCCCTGCCCTAAATTCCCAAATTCTCCCACGTTCAGCATTTATATTTGACAAGCAAAGTAAAAAATACTCAGTGTAGTAACTCTGGGATTTTGGTCAAGCTGCCTGCATGTGGTTTGACTCTTATTAAAACATTGGTCATAGTCTTTACCTCTAGAAATACAATGTATTTACTAGATGCCTCAGTCAGATGTAAAGAATGGCAGTTTTGTATCTTGTATTTACAGCTTTTGAAACTTTTGTCAGTCTATGTCTGTGACTGCACATTAACAAGCCTGATGAAACAGTCGTTCAGTGAAACAACAGTATTGCTTTAGAGTGTGCGGTGTCACACGAGGGATTTCTAGCCTACCTGAATCTATGGCTCATGGCTGCCTGAGTAAGAACCTGCCTACTGGCATCACCTGTCCGTTGATAACTACAAGAGCAAACATTTAACAAGTTTGTGAATTTCCAGGAAAAGGGCAGAATAGACTGGAACCCCTGACAAAGCTGATTTTGCTTTTTTCTCTTGTGTGACCTTAGAACTGAAGAAAATCTGTGTTAAAATGTCTTCTGGTCTTGGGCAAGTGGAGCTTTAAAAACGAGGAGTCTATATTTGACTCTTCTTTTTTTTCTCCTCTGCATTTCTTTAGAGTTATAAGGTGCCACATTTCCAGGGACAAATCAGCTTTATCACCTCCATGTCAGAGCACTTCTGTGGGTCCTGCAATCGGCTGAGGATAACCGCAGATGGGAACCTAAAGGTTGGTAGTGAAACATGATTCTCTTTGCTTTCATGCAGTGAAAGTAGTATAGAAATTCTTCCCTTAAAAGTAGCTGGGATGTAAAGTAGGATGGAAAGATGCATAATTATTACCAGCTAACTCCTGTTTATCTATCCTGTATGTATTCTTGTTCAAGCTTGTTGGGCTGTTAGGGAGATGTTACATCACCTTTTTTTGGTTTCTCTGTTTTGCTAACATAGTTAACTTCAGTTGTAAAACATGGTTGCAAGACCAGTAAATATAAACATTTAATTTAATCTTTGATTCAAAATCATCTTAAGCATGTGACAAGCAGATGATTTCCCATCAAAAAAGGATCCAAGCATCTGTGAGGCCTTGGCTTTTGTGTTCCACACAGATCCTGTCTTGTTTCACCAAACATCTTCTTGCAGCTCTTCTCCTTCAAGAGCAGCCTGTACATTTGCTCAACGGCTGTAGAAGAGGGAGGGATAACCATTTCCTGCCACGTTGAAACTGGCAGTTTCTGGAGGAAAATTAAAGTTTTCAATTAAAAATTGGCATTGTCACCTGATATTGACAACAGCTGTGCCGCTGTCTAATGTCAGATGACCAAGGCAGCCTGAAGGCCCCATGAGCTTAGGTTACATAAATGTCCCAGGCTGGCTGTGTGTGTGTACATGAGGAGAGATAAAGAAAACAATGTCCATAAACATTCTCTTTCTTCAGTAGGATAGACCTCTTCAAAACTGTTTACTCTGAGGTTAGTACGAAATACTTGTAAAAGCCATTTATTTTATTCTTATGCATTTCTCCTCTCTTGTTCCCTTGGGTTGGCTGCAGGTGTGCCTTTTTGGGAATTCAGAAGTGTCCTTGAGAGATCACCTACGGTCGGGTGCCTCCGAGGAAGAGTTGGTTCAAATCATTGGAGCAGCAGTGGGCAGAAAAAAGAAACAGCATGCTGGTATGTTTGTGGTACCTGAGAAATAACAGCAGTGACCAGGGAAAACAGTGCCCTGGTACTGCTGTGGGATGCATTGACTTGCCAGCAGAAAGAAAGAAGGAAAAGCTGCTTGAATGAAGCTGCATTAACTAAGGAAAGAATTTTCCCATCTGATAAGAGTATGGTCTGGTAGAAAGCTGGTAACATACTGGTCCTGCAGTTACTCCAAAATTTGGATGTCAGTTTTGAGTCTTCTAACCTTGCATATGAGCTAGAATCCAGACCGTCTAAAAGTCTTTCAGACTGAATTTATCTTCAGAGAGATGCAAATACCACTGCTCACGATAACAACAGCAAAGTGTAAAGCTAGGCAAAAATTGATGGAGTTGTACTGGATCCCTTTTTTCTTGAAATTAGTTTTCTGTAAAATAAGTACTAAAGCTAAACTGAGCTGTTGGTCCAACTACTGCATTAACACATTTCTAGAAGTGACAAATGTCTTTTTGAGTACGCAGAAATTTGTAGCCGCTCATCTAGTGCTCTGCATAAGGTCATGACACAAGGTCCATGATGATGCAGTCACATCCTCAGGCTGCATTAGTCTGTTCTGAATTTCTATTGATATAAACTGTATTTCAGTCACATCTGAACCTAACCATGTTTTCGTAATCTGGCTGCAGCTGGGAACGCTGACCTCTTGTGCATGAACTGGCTTCGTGACCATGGAGTAGTCCCCTTTACGCTGAAAATACGCTTTGGCCCTTTTGTTTTCTTGCAGATTCTGCCGGATTACTAACAGTTGGTTTGGCCTTTTTTTTGTTACGTGTAAAGCAAATTTAAAGGAAGCTTTTAAATCTGAGCGCAGACTAACTTACAAAGGACATTGGTCTGACCTAGATAAAATAGTGTCTTGAAACATAAGTGAAGGGGTGGAGGGATTGGTTCCTTTTCTTTTAGACTATTCATTTCAGAATTTCTAATTTGGGGTGGGGTGGGCAGAGAAGAGCATTTTCCTCTCTAGCAAAGGCATTTTGCCACCAGCAGCGTTTACCTGACGTTGTCTTTCTTCTTCCAATTTGTGTTAATCCCAGTATTGTCCTTGGGACCTTCTGTGATTGGACTTCTTTGAACTGGAACACTGTTAACAGCTTATCCATAGAACAAATACAGTTAAATGCTACTGTTAAGAAACAAGATAGTCCCAAGCTGTTTGAATTCTGTAGCAGGTAGACTGTAATTTAGATTATGGAAAGCTTTCTGGGAAAGGGTTCTACAGTGTGATAGACCCATAGCAGCTGCATGCTTGGAGACTGTGGCAGCTATGGTTTTAAATAATACCCTGCTAGATTCCCCTTCCTCCAGCTCCCTCGGTCTTTACTAAGCTTTGGTTTTCCTAGCATGGAGGTTGCGCTGTGAAGAGCAGAAAACTAAATATATAAACCAGATGCATGACTTAAAATCTAAAAAGCTAGGATTTTTATGTGTTCCTTATTTTATTTCTAGGCATGTTTAACATTTCCCAGATGAAAAACCGGCCAATGATCCTGATTGGTGGGTGACAAATCAGTACGTAATAAACATACCATGATTTTGTTTGGTTTTTGTCTGTGGGGGAGCAGAGTGGATTGGGCTTTTAAGTCTAACTTGTGTTCAGTTCTGGCTTAGGTTTAGGCAAAGAAATGGGTTTCTGAAAAGACAGTTGTGGTTAAAATTATGCTGAAGTGGAAAAGGAGGAAAGGTTTAATGTCCCTACCAAGCCTTACTCAATCTTCTGATTGACAGCACTGTTTTTGTTTTCTCTAATTTTGAAAGTTCATTACATTTTCCAAAGGGCTCATGGGCTTTCCTATCTTATTTCCTATCTGCTTCCTTTGTGCTTAACAAGAATTGTGTAGTAACTGATAAGGCAGTTTGGTCAATTTCATAAAACTCACCCCAAATTTCCTTATAAACATCAAGGATGCAGGACGGACTTTTATTCCTCAATTAATTAAGAAATTCAACTTTGATTATAATATATAGAGCCAGTAACCTGACAGAAATGCAAGTTTTCCCACCTCACTGCTTCTTTACTTACTTCAGAATCTGAAACTTGGGGTTCCATTCTCTTGAAATGTCCTCTTACTGCTGCAGAGTCTCAGAACATAACCATGAAAAGAAGTGTAGTATCTGGTATCTGACCAGCCTTACGGGCAAGAGCCTTTCTTCTCCTTGCTGTGTCTATGGAAGATGTTTGCTAACTCTCCCTTCCGCTTGAAGCTCTGTCCATGGGTGGTGTGGCACTGCTGGGGTTCTCCTACTCATTTTTCACATCCCCTTCAGTGTGGTTTCATCTCCTCCGTGCCTACGTTTCCCTGTGTTGTAAGATAATATTTGGGAAGATAGCTTTTTTTCTTCCTTAGACTTAAATGCTTGCAAGAGTTAGCATTGTGAGATTAATTGGAAGTTGTTCTGTTGTTTCTTATCAACAAGGGGGAAAAAAATGCAGCAAGGGTGGAAGAGATGAACATTATGTTTCAATCCCAAACTCTCATCCTACCATTGATGCTCTGGAGCAGGTTAGCAGCTTAAAATACAGATGGTAAAAGAGGTACCCTTAGGGAGTGGGAAAGTAACATGCGTTACTTTGCAGGTCTTTGCTACAGGTGGTACAATAACTGCTCTTTCTTTAAACCAAGACCCTAGTGCTTGTAGTTCTGGTGCCTTTATTAGGAAATAGGTTTTCACTGGGAATATTTTTCACTTGCTGCCCCCCCTTTAAAGGGCCATCATTTTCCATGTTGAGTTTTAAAGTGAGTGGGTTCAGTGGCACAAGGTTGTCTCTCATTTCCCTTCTGCTCTTTCGTGTTTGGCTACTGCTGCATTGTGTTCCAGGAAAAGGGGAAAAGGGACCCTTTGTTTAAAGTGTATATTGACTTGCTGCATGAGGAAAAATTTTCTGGTGTGGTGGTTTTTTTTTTTTAAAGATGAAAAATACTATTTTAAACTCTTGACAGCTCACTGGGACCTAGATAACTTTTCAAGATGCCTTTGAAAGAATCCCCACACTCCAAAGTTAGCATTCATAGCAATGTTTGGATGTTTACAGATCAGATCCATCCAATTTCCTTTTCAAAAGTGCTTTGATATTATCTGACATACAGTAAAAGAGGCAGCCTGTCCAGGTCCTCCCCGAGCTGTTCCATGTCCCTTTGAGACTGAGTGCTGGCAGACTGGAGAGTATCCCACTGTGACACATGGGGAATCATCAGGAGATTTCCTAGTTGTGTTTTGAATTACTTAAAAACTTCAAATTATGCTGGCGTGCAAGCAGTCAGTGGCAGGGGGCGGTGTATGGAATTAATATAATGAAACTTAATGAATGCTGTGGAAATCACTAACTGGTTTTGCTAGTCCCTGGAAACCAAACCCAGCTTCTTCCCTGCACTGCTGTTGTCTGATCCTTGGCTATATGATTTGTATCCTATTTCCCTTAATCAAAATATTCCTTTTGGCAGGTGGTTCTCCTCATGAGTTCACTTCAGTTTTGGGAATTTCCTCCTTAGTTTAAGGATCTCCTGCCTTCTTCCCCCCACCCCCCGAGATTGTGCTAGTTGGAAGCTAACACAATTAAACTTCAGGTGCAGTAATAGAAGATAAGGACAGGCAGTTTGTCAGATGGTTTCAGTTGTGTCACACATAGTGCTGTCGAAAACCATTATTTTTTGTAGGTGTATGAGAAATTTGGGTGAAGACAGAGATGACTAGGTACAACTTTAAGAAAATGCAGGCTGTTAGGAAAAGCGAAGATGCTTTGCATGCATTACTGTCTGTTGCTGTCTTTTTACTTACCACTCTACTGGAGCAAACGCTGCTTTTCTTCCTTTCTCCCACCCATGTGAGTTTACCCTGTGGAAGTAAGTACTTGTCTGCCTTTGCAGTCTAGCTTCTCCTGAAGACAAGACACCTTGCCAGGGGTTTAGCTTCAGCTTTAAAGCTAATCAGGAATCCAGAAGAACAGAGTACTTTACGTTCCTGGATTTTAAAAGGAATATTCACGTTAGACCCCACTGTATAAAGACAGAGGGAAAGAAAGGAGGAATAACCACAATTTTCTGTGCTCTTCTAAGGCAGAGCAATGTTGCACTCAAAACATTTATGTCCATTTAATCCTATTCCTCTGAGAGTAAACACATTACCACTAAACTTGCAGGAATCTTAATTTTACTGGATAGGCCATCACCCGTAGATCAAAAAGGGCCTTTGTCTGAAATTGGATTATTGCAGTGATTTAAAAAAAGTGAAATCTATGGTTGATTTAAGCTTCAGTAATGGGCACTTTCAGATCAACGTTGGGAGGGTACTCTGGATGCAAAAGGTGCTACGTGCATCAGTCTTGTTATAGCAGGGGCTGGGACTATAACAAGGAAGAGATTGGTTGGTTTGTTTTTTAAAAAAAGAGGGTGGGGGAGCACAACCACTGCCTTGTCCACGCTATGTTGTCTGTTGTTGTCATGTGGAGAGGCCAAGGTGATCCCTGTAGGTCTGGGCAGCAAAGGTAGCTCAGCAAGGTGCAGAGGGGCCAGGAAGCTGCTTTGATTCACCTGTGGGCAGTCTGAAAACTCATGAGTAAGGGTGTCCCTCAATACCAGAGCTACCAAAGGAGGTTATTGAGCCAAACCCAATTCCAAGTTGCTCAAAGCAGAGCAAAGAGAGCAGGAGCTCCAGAAAAAGAGAAACATACTTATCAATGAGGCTATTAAACGAGGGCTTAGCCACTTACCTCTATACTGCTTTCTCTTTACTTACTTACAAAACAAATTACTTCTTTTATGTGAAAAAGACTCCTTCTGTCTTGACACTTGGCATTTAGCCCTGTGCAAATGCCAAAACCAAGGGATTAAATGGTGAAAAGGGGCAGGAGGGCTTATTAGCTCTCTGCCAGCTGGGACCTCTGCCAGCTCAACTTGAAACATACTTCTGAGTAGATTTAAAATCTCTCTGTCAATGAGGGGAGCGTGGTTTTTCCAGTGCTTAAACTTCAGCTGTCATTAATGTGGTAAGAGCTGGCAGTAATAAGTGAAGTTCCCATCACAGAGCCACCCTCTGAGCTTGTAGACAGTGCAGTTGCAGTGCTTCTGGTCCCTGCTGTCCTCAAGTGCTGGCGTGACCCTTCCCTGCAGAAGGAGATGAAAGCATGAAGTGCAGCCGCCTGTGCTGGGAGGAAGGTGTTTGGAAAGGCGGAGTTGAGAATCTGAGTGCAAGAATTTCCTATTAACCCTGCCAGGCTTTCGAAAGAAGACTGGTGCTGGGACAATCTCAAATAGATGCTGGGCTGCTGTGACTTGCTTTTCTTCAGAACTGATGTTCCTATAAGCCTTCTTGGCTGGTGTTTCTCAGTATGAGTTTATATTTTTTGAAGGCAAGTTGTTTCTTCTTGTCAGGGACCTTGAAATAAGTGTTTGAGTCTTGGGGTTTGTAATAACAAACCAGCAAATGCAGGGAACTGATGAGAGAGAAAAGTGGATGTTTGCAGGCTTATTAAGGTTTTTTGCAATAAAGTCCCGAGCAGTGCTCTGACAGGGTTCTCAGCTTAGCTTTCCAGTTAGTAAGATGTATTCTCATGTTACTTTTTTTTTTTTTCCTCCAGAGCCTGCATTGCTGTCATTCCCACTAGGCCAAGATGCCCTACAGAATCACCCAAATTCAGAACAGTGGGGCCGCACATTTAGCCACTGGCTGACTTTGAGAGCAAGTTTACCCGAACAAATGGGAAAAGCATTAATGAAAAATAAGCTTACAGGACAACTTCTCCTGCCAGGATCTCACCCAGAGCGACAGTGGCACATAATGACAGGAATTCCACAAATCCAGCTCAGAGGCTGCTGTGTCTTCCAGAAGGACCCAAGCTCCACGTTTGACACAAAGTGCCTTGAGGCTTCTCCTGTTGGCCAGGTTTCTGTGGACTGTCAGTCCAAAGAGGCAAATCCAGGATCTGAATTCTGTACCAGGGATTTGGGATCTTGCATCGAGGTAACTCGTGACTCTGACAACTTGACTCACACTGATGAGGAAGGACGGGCCACAATGGTAGATGTTGGGGGGAAGCCAGATTCAAGAAGAATTGCTGTTGCTGGTGCTGTGGTCCGCCTGGGTGAGAAGGCATTTGGGATGGTGAGGCAGAACCAGGTGAAAAAAGGGGATGTGCTGGCAGTAGCCCAGATTGCAGGAATCCAGGGAGCCAAGCTGACCAGCCAGTTGATCCCGTTGTGTCACAACATCCCCCTAAACCATGTTGAGGTGTCCCTGAGCCTGGATGAGGCCAGATACGCAGTGGTGATTCGCAGCTCCTGTCAGACCTGGGGGAGGACAGGTGTGGAGATGGAAGCTCTAACAGCTGCCAGCCTGGCTGCCCTGACTGTGTATGACATGTGCAAAGCAGTCACTCATGACATTGTGATCGAAGAGGTGAAGTTGCTTAGTAAGACAGGTGGGCGAAGGGGAGACTTCTTGAGGGTCTAGATCCTATCCAGACACCTCCAGGTGACCACTGCTTATATTCAGCCTCTTGCAGAACTACTTTTGCTCAGCTGGTAGGCTTGGAGACCTCAGCAAGGTATACCATGCAACAGCCCTACAACTCCAGTTTTGCGTTACCCTGTCAGCTTACTGCTGGGTGAACAGTGAAGCCACTTAGCCCTGTTGATAACCATGGGTGTTTTTTAGAGGACGGACTTCTCCATTCTGCCAATACCTTCATTTCAGCGTGCTCACAGTGAGCTTGAGCAAAGATTCCTAGTTACACTACAGAGGGTTTTTGTTGGTTTTTTTTTTTCTTCTTGCTGTGAAATGTTCACAGCTGCTGTCATCACACCATGCAACTGTGAGCTCTGGAAATGAAGCAAGTGTTGGAAGTGCTATTATTTGGCAACTATTTTTAAGTCAAGGATTAAGATTTCAGAATTGTGTCTGTCCGTCTGTCTCCCTGACCCCCTTAGTTGAATTTAGAAGGTGACAGTGAGAAGAACAGAGCTGGGGAACCGTACCATCAGCAGAGATTATAACGATGGAACGGCCAGGGTCAGAGGGGCAGCTCCCATCCCTTTGCACTGCTACCGCTTCCCTTGCCTGCAAGTGGGAAATATCCACATATCAGTTTCAAAAGAAAAAAAAACAAACAAAAAAAAGAAGGTGGCAGCTGCCCAGCTCTCTGCCCTGAGCACTCTGTAAAACATGATGTAGAAACAGAGGATTACTGGGTTTGGAAGAATTATTTTGCTGATCTGAAAGATACCTTAGAAGCACGTTCCAGCGTTTTCACCTTAGCACTCAAATACATCGAGGCCTTGTGTCTGCACGCTCAAGGGTAGCTGTCAGCTCTCCCTGACTTTAGAAATAGATGTCACACCAAGCCCCGGAAGACCCCCAGTTTTTCAGTCCTACAGCACAGCTCCTAGTAACCAGTAACCCACATAGTCCTGACAGATAAACTTTAAGACTAGTAGCCACTTGGAAGAGTAAGGTAGTTGCTGTTGCCTCAGCCAGAGTGTTTTCCTGCATGTTTCTCTAATTTGCTTTCATGAAGTCTCCTGACCTTGGAGCACTTAAGTGTCCCCATATATGTACCAGTGGCCACTGTCACGTAGCATTAAACAGCTTTGATGATTGACTATCCTAGACAAGAAATTACTCAACATTGTTTTGTTAATACTGATGGATCCTTTTCAAATGTTAATTTAAATGCTCTAAACAGGGTATTTTCAACTTTGGTTTACTTGTTTTCTAGTGCTTATGGCTAATGTGAAGTTGCATATGATTCAGGGTGCTCCCTCTCCATACGCACAGAGAGTTAAAGACAGCTCTAATAACATCAAAGCAGCTACCAAAAAAGTGTCTTAAACTTTGCAAGAAGCTGCTTGTCATGAAATAAGGTTAAATTACTGCGAGCATCAGTAAAGCACACACCACACTGTCATGCATGTCCTGCTCACTTAAAGTCCAAGATGAGGAGGCAATAGGTTTTACTACAAATGTCTTTGCTTATCCTTTACAAGTCTCATACACTAGTTACCACAGAAGGCACTTTTTCCATTGAAGATGAATTAATTTGATTCTTTATTCATTGTCACTGTGAGACAAGGCATGTATAGTGTCCCACATAGCAGCTACAGCTGAAAGGGGAAGGAGTCTGGAAAGCTTGGTGCCCAAATTCCATAAACACTTGTACACCTACATTCAGTGTTACAGTCCCGATTCCCTTGATATCGCTGATCTGTCTGTAAGTTAATAGTAGGGGCACTCCTGCTCCTTCCCAGGAATGTACCTAGCACTGCCATCCTGAGCACTAAACCCCAGCTGCCCCTGCAAGTACAAGAGACCTTGTTCATCTGTGGGGCTGCTGTGCCAACAGAGCAAATGTTTCCCTAGCTCAGCGTGGAAACAAATAGCCAGAAAAAAGAAACACGTGTGTAACCTGCTAAGTTAACTGATTTGCACAAGCACTTAACTCCCCCCACCACACACAACACACCCTGCCCTCCCTGCCTTCACCCAGTCTCTAGATACTTTTGAAAACCAAAAGGAAACTAGACATACTCAGTAGGAATAAAATGATGCTTTGGGGCATGTGATTCTTTGGCTTCTGAGAAGTTTGCTGTCATGCTGTAAAGCTCACACAAAGGACTCAAGACCATCCAAGGGACTACAGAGCACCCGCATGACTGCCACGCACATCTTGCTACTTACGCACATTTCACTACTTTCTTGGGTTGAGAGCGGCTGGAAGCTTTGGGCAAACAGACTTTGGTGCCACTTTATGCTCGTGCTACATTATCAAGTCTTGAAACTGTGCACATTTATAGATAATGAACCAAGCATGAGTCAACAGAACATTTTGCGAGAGAAATGAGCTGATAGCACTCTATGTTTCAGTGGTGCTGGGTGGGCAATGCTGTAATAGATGTTGATGAACTGACTACTTTTTGGAGGCTTGCCTTTTTTTGTCCACTGCATTTTTAATAAATACTAGTTGTAATGAAGTATGTATGTTTCGCATTACTTTGAATACCCTTTTTATTCATTCACAGGAACACGTATGTTTTAATCCATGAGCTTCTATGAATAGTTTAACTCAGGACAAGCAACAAGACAGACTTTATAAGTTGCAATGATTAGTCAGCAATTAGCAAGGGATCAGTCACAATAACTTATTACTATAAGGAATCCATTATTTCTTTTTTTGGTTGAGTGAAACTCATCTCTATCTGTCTGTTCTTAAACTGAGTAATCCTGTAGGCTTAGCATCATAAATTATCATCTCTCATCATTATCCCAGCTTCTCCCATGTGCCTGTTCCGAGTCAGTGGATGTGTATAACAGTCCTGCTTTGTGTTGCAGAGTAACATAAAGAACTGGTGCCTCCAGAACTCTCCCTCTTGGTCTGAGTGACCACGCACCGAAACTGAGGTCCGGGGAAGTGCCTGTATAGTAGACCATCCCTCCTGAATCGTGAATAAGGCTAAGGGAAATTCCCCTTCAGATCCATCTGAGCTTCCAGGAAAGCTCTCACCTTTTCTGCTATCGAGAAGGCCTGTTCCTACCTGAGGAAGCAGAGTTGGTTGAGCTGTTCACTGTAATCAATCGATCAGCCCCAGGGGAAGCCAAGGGCCCCGGTGCAGGGGCAGAGCAGCAGGTGCTCTGCAGGAGGGCAGAGACAGCAGCTGTACTGCCAGAGGGTCTCTCTTTCTCCAGGTACAGCCTCCAAATGCTGCTGATCCTAGGATGACAGCACAAAGCTTTACTTGCTTTTTCCAGGAGCTGCTTCCTAATTTGGACCTAGGTTTTTGAAGATTTAACTAAAAGAGTGAAAGCACCAAGCCCACCGCCTCCTTCTCAGAAAGTGCTGGGGGAGGAAGAGTGGGGAATAGAGGGAAGATGCAGCTTGAAATACTTTCAGAATGGACCTCTTCTTCCAAATGGGAACCACTCAAAACCAGACTCTAAAAGCAACAACAGCTGACCACTAAAAAGGGGAATGGATTTTTTTTAGCTATTCTAAGCCACTGGTGACCTGCAGTAGTTCTTAAGTTGCTGATGTTCCTCAGCTTTATGTGGGATTTGACTGAACAGAATCTGGCCCTTCATCCCACCCTTTCCTTGGCCCTTCACTAGTTTGCAGCTCCTTCTGGCTGGCTCAGCAGCAGTTATGCAGGCATGTAACAGCTTAAATATGGCTGTAATGTTGTGTGTGCTTTGGCCAGGACACAGGACTGCTAATTAGTTAAATGGAAACACAGTTCACTTCCCTCCACTTACTAGAGCCTTGCTCCAAGAGAAGCTTAGCATTTCAGGGAACCTAAAAACAGTTGGAGGAGTCGCTGGTGCAGTGGGCTGACTAGGCTTTCACTTTTTTGAGACTTCAGGGTAAAGCTTCAACTTAGGTCTCAAAAGCCAGTGGATCTGAGGAGTGCTGCAAAGCCATGATGATGGCAGGCAAACCCCTGACACGTCTGGCACACTCCCTGGAAAGGCACAGGGTGGAATGGCCGAATCCTTTTTCATAGGCTGGGTCTGAAGGGCTTTGGGTGAGCTCAGTGCACCCTGTCATACGAGTAAATTCTCATTTTGGTCATAAGAAGCTTATACAGCGGTAGCTGAGACACAAATCCAGCCATCTCTACTTTTCTCTGTCCCTCCACACTGCCAGTGCCATGTTTAGAAAGCTTTCAGTTTAGCATCTCTATTTGTGTACTTAGCCTGTTTGCTGCTTTGGGGAGCGAAGGGTACTTGAAATAACAGTGGTGAAGTGCAGCTGAGTGAAAGTTGACCCGAAGGGCCAGATGCCCCGAGACACTGCTGAACCTTGCTCCGAGCAGAGCTGTGCGACCAACTGGGCATTGCTCAGCTTCACGTTCACAGCCCAACTGCAACGGCATGGCCGTGGCCATCAGGCAAGCCGCCTGGTGCCCGCGGCTCTCCGAGGTGCCACCCACACAGCACTTGCTCCACGGAACAAAGCTTCGTGCTTCATTATTGCTTCAGGGTTGCTTCCAGAACCCCAAATTAACAACAGTTTTACAGACACAATTGCTTCATCAACAGAGAGAACACAGAGCTTATCCTCAAATTCTGGAGAACCTGCTTAAAACCAGAAACTCTCAGTACTACTAAGCTGTTCCTGCAAGGATTTAGTCTTGAAATAAATGCAACAGAAACACCCTCTTCTATACCCATGGTACTTCCAGGGTGCACAGCTGAAAGGACACAAGGCCAGCAAAAGCAACGTTTCTAGTTCCAATGTCAAGGGCAGCTTGGCTGCAGTGTGACGGAGGCAGGGGAGGAAGAGGAGGAGACAGCAGAAGGGTTGGTCAACTGTAAAGTTGTATTAATATTATGCTTGGAAAAATAACACGTGCTATCAGATACGCAGCCACTCCGTTAGTCATGCCCTAGGCCAGTTACCAGCTGGTGCACATGGTGGCATAGCTCCATCAACATCAGCAGAGCTGTGCAGCGTCGCACCA